GGCACCACCCCGGGATCAACTCATCAAACAGTCATTCATTCTGTTAAGTTTTTAGATCCAAACCCAGGTGCCAATTGCCAATACCGAAAGCATCGAACGTTTGTGGAAATCTGCAAAAGAGAAACAAGCTCCACAATGGCACACACAGACATATGCTCGATTTGTATATGAGTGAGTTCATGTGGCGTCAACATGTTAAAGTACATGAAGACCTCAAGGGAAAAAACGACAGAGTACATTTTTAATTTTTTTGAGTTATCACCCCTGACTTATAGCCAGTTAAAAATAGAAGGTGCTGAATTAAGTTTAAAGGAGAAAAAATGGCTAAGTCCATAAGAAAAATGGAAACGAAAAATCCGTTTACAATGGAAAAAGGAGCATAGCCCAATGTTTACAATGGAAAAGGGGGCTAAGTCACTAATATCACGTGACATTTGAAGTCACGTGATTTATAGGTCCAATGAGAGATAGCTATAGTGTAAACAAAATTTAAAGATGGCGACCGATTCGCTCAGCTGACCGACAAACCGACGAAAAAGTTAACTGACAGACCTGAATTTTTTAAATTTCCTACCACAAGAAAACAAAACAAATTAACATAAGCACGATAAATTGGACTTAAAACATTAAAATAATAAAATTAGCATTTTTAAATCGCATTTTACCCTTGTTTTGTTATGTTCAGTTAATTAATGTGTGTATCAGTCTCGTCTCTTTCGCTGTCGCTCTAGTCAAGTCTGGTCTATCACTGTTTGTTGCATGTCTGTGTCACTCCCTGTCAGTCTATCTCAGTTAGTTTGTATATCTCTCTCCCTGTCGCTCTAACTCTGTGTCTGACTCCCCCTGAACTCTTTATCTTCGAGTGTCTGTCTTGCTATCTCGGTCTGTTACTCTTTACTGACTTTACTCTTAAACTTAAGTTCATACAGTTACAGCTACTGCTAGAGGAAAAAAACTAATATTGGGCCAAAATTGTAAGAAGCACATCAGAAACTTAGAAAGTATGATTTTATATCTGATTTTCAGTTTAAATTCTAAATAATATATTTTTTTAATGATAGTTATAGGCATGATCCATATTCTTATATTAATAGTTTAAACAAAAATAATTTGCCTAAGGCAGGGGTCATTCGTAAATTACATCACGTTAAAAATAAACTTTTTAGACACCCCCTCCCCTTGTCACGAAATGTCACAAATTCTCCCCCTCCCCCCTTGTCACATCACCTAAAAAAACTCAAAACATACATAAAATTTTCATAACTAAACTAAGATATTATTTTATTCTTCAACATTTTCCCATAATGCAGCAGTTCTAAACCTGTGGGTGGCGACCCCTTTATGGGTCGAATGACTCCTTTAAAGGTGTCACATAAGACAATCGGCAAATGCATATCCTCTACAGTTATGAAGTACTAACGAAAATAGTTTTATGGTTGAGGGTCGCCACAACATGAGGAACTGCATTCAAGGGTCGCGGCATTAAGAAGGTTGAGAACCACTGCCATAATGATAAGATGCAGTATTACTAGAAAACCGAGTTTCATGGTACCATACTATAATACCTGAGGCAAAGTTGACCTCAAATTAATGTTTAAAAAATCAATTAAATTATGATATTTTTTTTTAAGAATTAGAAACTTTTAGTGATGAAAAAAAAAGTAACGTCACAATTTTTGACCCCCCCTTTCCCCCTCCCAAAAAGTGTCGCATATTCTCAACCCACCCCCTCTAAGCGTGACGTAATTTGCCAGTGATCCCTAAATGTGAAAATTTACTTATAAAATAGTTTTAAATAGATATTTATCAATGATCAAACCTTGATAAATTACTACAAGGGAAAAAACGGCAGAGTCCATTTTGACCCCACTCTCTACTATAATGAAATAAATCATGTTACATTCAAGTTTGAATTACTTTATCTATATAATAACTCAGGGAAATGGACACTCTTGTGAAATGCATTTTAAAAATTACATTTTGTTTACACATTTTTAATGTGCATGGTTTTGAACTTTAAAAATGGAATATCTCAAAACAAAAAAAATGTGACTCTGCCGTTTTTTCCCTTGTGGTCTTCAAATGGTTTTTATGTCTTCCTATGTCTTCCAACGCGTAGCTAGAGGGATGCGGACCGCACCGGGTGTCACCCTCTCAGGGGGTGACACCCAATTGAAAAATTGCATAATTACAGAGTACACACTGCTCGGTCCAACTATTTTCATAAAAGGATAACCGACCACACAGAAATTTTCCACACTTGTAACCAATCTTAATGCGTGCTTTATTAAAAGTTATGTTGATGCGTCAGAAATGAGGTGACCCTATAATTAAGTCAGAAAAAAATGCCGTTTAAAAATGAATTTTTAAACATTTATAGTTTTAATTAGTGATGTAGCTAGGGTTGTGGGGGTGCGGACCACAATGGTGACACCATCCCAGGGGGTGACACCAAATGGAAAAATGGCATATTTGCAGAGCACAAACCGCTCGGTGTAACGGAATTTCATAAAAGGATCACACCCATCACACGTAAATGTTCCACACGTGTAACTAATCCCAATGATGCATCAGAAACACCTTTTTGACCATAATTCAACGCCAATTGAAGTGTTCTGTAACTTTCATAAATGACACGAAGCAATATTTATCTAAATTCTGAGAAATAAAGCTTTCCATTGAAGCGAAATATGATGTGGTCGGACGATTCTAAGTTAATGAATCGAATCGGTAAAAATTAATAACATTAAAAATTAGTCTTTTAACCTATTTTTAGGGTAAACAAAATAATATTTTACAACATTTTCTACTCTTTTTAATAATAAATTAACATTTTTTTTAAACTTTTAAAAATATGTTTTTGAAACCAAATCTATCGAAACCTAGAAATACTCTAAAATAAATATTTTCGTCGATTCGTCACTAGCACCACATCTTAATATTGGAGCATGATTGTAATACAGCATAATGTCTTTTACATGTTGTCTGTGATTTCAAGTATATCTTCTACCTTTACCTTTGGGATGATCTACTTGAATAAGTTAATTTTACACAAAAGTATCTACAGACTGAAGGCTTCACTCTTGACAAAATGATAACCAAACTAGAGGCCTTAAGATTGTTTCTGTACGAGAATCGCTTTCACTTTGTGTAACCATGCTATTGAAATGGTACCGGTACTTTTAAAATCAGACCCATATGAAATTTCGTTAGAGAGAACAAAAAGGTTGAAGAAGAGAACGAAAGGAGAACAATTAATAGCTGCTAGACTCCCTCTGCGAGAAGTAAAGAGAAGAGAGATGCATGTGTGCATTGCTGGCTTTCATTCTGAAATCCAGATCAGTGATCAAGGAATTAGCAGATATGTTTGGGGCTGTTCAACTCAAGAGTCCACTGTCAACAAGTGAAGTAGAGTTATGGTGTCCGCTCCAAAATTAACCTCTTTCTATGATAAGTTATCAGAAGATGAACTTTTAAAAGAAATACTAGGCTTAGAAGAAACTAAAGGCAGCTGATATCGAATTCCAAAGTAAAATTAATGTAAAAACTATAATTTAAATTTAACGTTTTTACTTCTTCTTCTATATTTTGAGGGCCTTCGATCAATCTATTGACTATTGATCTCTCTGGCTCCTTTAAATTCTTAAATACAGTTCTTAAATACATTTATCTTCTGACCTTTAATTAATTTGTTTTTTGTTCTTGTCTTTGTTATAATGTCATCTTTGAAGTTGGAGTGGGGATGGAGGGGGGGGGGTGTGACACCACGAGTTTACCGCACCGGGTGACACCGACCCTAGCTACGCTCTTAGAATTCAGGTTAGGAGGTTAGGTTTAGGGATACATTTAGGACATAAGTTCGTGCTCACGATAACCAAGATGGCGGCCGCGGGCTGATCTCTCCGAATCGTTTTTTATTCAAAAGAACATTTGTTTTATGGGAAGTGTGAATAATAATAATTTTTGCGGTGAATTTAAATTGAAGTATCGGCTAAAGCGGAGAACGGTACCCAAGATGGCTGCCATAGTTGCAGTGAATTAGGGTTCATGTTAGGCATAGGGATCGATTTAGGGTTCAGGTTAGGCATAGGGATCGATTTAGGGTTAGGCATAGGGATCGATTTAGGGTTCAGGTTAGGCATAGGGATCGATTTAGGGTTAGGTTTAGTGACAGTATTAACTGGTTGTGTCTACCAATATGGTGGCCATCGCGGGTACTATTCTCCTTATTTACCGAAGTATCCACTTCTGATACCGGGTCCGAATAGCCGCAGCAAAACTTTTCATTACAATTACAGTGACAGGTAAGACAGTAGACGATTTGCCGCCAAAAAAAAAAAAAAAGCAACTTTACTTTGATCTTGACCTTGAATCTTGATTGATGTCATGTTAATGATTGTAGAACTACATTTAAAATAGAATTTAAAAAATTCAAAACAATTATAAACATATTCTTACTTGCTTTTAGCGGTACGTCACATTGATTATTGAACGCTAAACGAAAGTCTTCAGAATATGACACATTTCGATTGTTAATAATGGCTCTCACTCTAAGATGGAAAACCAACAGGAAGTATCCGTCATAACCTTCACGTGACCAACCGAATAGATAAAGACCTCACATGACCAGCTGGGTCCGAATAGCCATTTGTTGCTATAGGGTACCTATAGCCACTCTGTTTTTTTTTTTTTTTTTTTTTTTGGAATCCCCAGTTATTTATTTTTATTTTTTGGTTATTCCTTAAATTTTTTGTTTTAGGGTTCCTTTTGCCCCTCTGTTTTTTTTTTTTTTTTTTTTGTTGGGAATCCCCAGTTATTAATTTTTAGTTTTCGGATATTCCTAAAATTTTAAAATAATAATCAATGGGTTTTCCTACGAACTTAAATAATTTTTGTCTAAGAAGAGTGTTCCACTATTAAAAAGTTGGTTTTTTTTTTAAAAAAAGGCTATCCGTTGTGTTTTAATTTGGTGGGCCATTTGTGAGGCCTGTGAGTTCGAATTTAACATCCAAACTCTAGAGTCTAGAGTTGAGCAAAGCCAGACGAAAAAATCATACAGTGTGTGAGGGTGCAGGTTTTATATTTAAGTTACATAAATTAATAATTGGGCACTCTCTCAGTAGTTAGTCTCAGTGACAGTAGGCAGTAGCCGTCCCGTAGCCTACAACCATTTTTTGTTTTGTTTACTAAAAAACAACTGAGACAAATTGGGTTTGTACCACTAGCTAGCTCTAGTTGGTTTAGTCCTAGTACTGCTTCGTCTACTACACTCGTCTCTTCTGTCTTCATGTAGTCAGTAGTCTCAGACACGCTGAGACTGACACTGCCAATTTCATTTTCAGTAATTGAAATTCATACGGGTCGGACCCCGAGGAATAACAATATTATTACAATAATATCAATTCTAATTTAATAGCGGTAAGCCTACGCCTAGCCCTAGCTCGATCAATTTCTCAATCTGAATCAGTCTTAGTCAAGTAGGCCTAGCTCAGTCATATGATTGCTTCAAAATTTTCTTTTGTTTTAAGATTATCATTATAAATAGCCTAGTCTAGGCCTATGCCATGCGGCGCCATGCCTATTCTATTAAATTAATAGCTGTAAGTAAGTAGGATAATTAATTAATGATTTGACAATTACTAATTAAATGACTTTTTAAAGTAACCATAGACTATTTAACTCTTTCTGTGCCAATCCATGACATATTGTCACATATGACAAATTTGACTGGTCGGATTTCTGCCAATCGATGATATAGGTACCGTCAATTTAATTTCAGTAGTTTATTTCTTTGACTACGTCTATCAATTATACTTTTTATTTCTCTCAATTGAATAATAACTCTTTTATTTTTACTATCGTGGAGGTGTATAGTTTATTAAATACACACATATAAAAAGAAAAGAATGCATAATAACCTCCGAGTAGCATGACACTTTGGTTAAGACGAAGAAAATAATGCATGATAACCTCTTAGTCGCATGACCCTTAGGTTAAGATTGAAGATTTGTAGGATAGCACTAAAACAAGGACAGTTTTCTACATCCATTTTATTTGTTTATTTATTATTTATCAATCAAACTATGTTTTCCTGAGTGCCAGAGTAATTCCAACTTAATCCTCTAAAAATACACCCACCTTATTGTCAAACATTTAAATGACTCTGATTTAAATGAAAAAAGTCTCATGAATTAAATTTTTGTTTTTGTTAAATGTCTTTTACTTCACGTATGGAACAGCTTTCTCATAGCCAGTTGTGTAATGTAAAGCAGGGGTTTCTCAACTTGTTTTACTCTAACACCCATATTTTGTCAGTTGGCATTTTAGTGGGGTGGGAGGAAACATGATTTTAAATGGAAGTCAAATTTTTTTTTTTTTTTTTCCTCAAGTTTTAAAATGCATTGAATCTTTTCTAGGGGTACTAGACTTAGTAAAAAAAATCTAAAGGGATGGCGTGTATGGAAAAAACTGGGGAAACTCTGATTTAAAGTCACTTTAAAATAGTGCCTTTGTTTCATCATACATCAGATTTCCTGTAAATTTTACACACAACAAAAAATACTATGGGGCTGAGCCAATCCATACAAGAAACTCTAGGCTCATTTGGTAAGTATTAGTTGATGAACATTAACATTTCTGTAATAAGGTTCCTGTGCAGTTTGTTGAGTCAATCAATCAAGGCAAATTTTATTATTAAATTTAAATCACAAACTTGGTGCCTGCAGACTTTTACAGATAAACACCCTCATTCTCTGGAAGTCCACTCAAGCGCCCCCCGCCATAGTCTGAGTAAAAAATGGGTCAAGCAATAAAGAGGTATTTGCAAGTAATTTAAGTATGTAGAAAAACAAGCCACATCAGTAAACAAAAAAAAACAAAAAACAGAGGAAAAAACAACAACATAGAATTAAATAAATTCATCAATTTTATTTCCAGTTCCAGAAAACACATGGTAACTCAGATTCTGGTCAGAACAATAAAAACAAAGAGAAAATTCCCAATTAAGTGATTAATTTTGTCAAATATATGAACAATTTGCATAAAAAACATTCTTTTTTACAAATTTGTTCACACTATTGTAACTAATTATTTATTTGGGAAACATTTTTTAAAAAAGATACAATCTGTTCATCATTCATGTCTAAAGTCCAAGAAATTCTTTTTATTGTTCATTTCAGAGGATGCAACTGATACCATGACCAAAGCAAAGATTGTTCGTTTGAGCCAAGGTAACATTAATAATGGGTCAGAAAACTTTAAAAAAAATTATTTTTTTAAAAATTGTTTCACTTGTACATATTTTATTTACAAATTACTCTTGGCGATATGCATCATTAATTCGTCTGGATAATTTTTTATTTTAAAAATTTTTTATTGTAGCTTTTTTTTTATGTTTCAATGAATGTCAGATTGATTCAACATATTTTTTAAAATAGAAAATTAACATAATAATACTGTTATCATTTTTTAAAAACTGTATTAATTTAGCTAGACGAACATAATAGTGTGAGTAGATAACTCTTGACAATTATGCAGTAAATAACTGTTGTTCAATTAGTTTTAATATTAAAGTGATACAGTGCTTAAGTCTAAAAGGACTTTAAATCTGACAATGCTTTCAATTAATCAGCTTCTTCATAATTCAGGGACGCACGAAGCTGAGGTGAGCTTTGGGGATGAGGCAGATCTACATAAACACAAGAAAAACTGTAAGAAGGACCCAACCCATAAATCATTCATACCTCTGAACAGCTTCACTCTGAAAGACCTCCCGTGGCGCTACAGGTATCCCCAAGTGTTTGACCTTGTCAAAATCCTGGCAGACCTGACCGTCAGGGTGGCAGTCCGCTACACAAGCCTTGAGAGGACAGAGTGCTTCCCTGACACAAATGATCTCTATCCTTTCTCAGCTTACAGGGGCCTTGACTTTTTGCGCACAGGAACAGGGAAAATCACTGAGGCTCTAAAGGTGAATGACCCAGAGAGTGGTTGCCCATGTGGTGAGTGTAAAATATCGGGGAGTCCCCAGAAGGAATATGGACTGTTCCATATTCTCACAGCGACTCATGTCGTCTTTGACAACATTGAAGCGGAGAATACCAAATGCAAGTTGGACTACAACACCGACAGCTCTCCTGACATTCTCTTAGATGGCACAGAGGCTACTGCAGACATAGATTGTGATAGGTGTCAACTGATGTGCGTAACACACGATGTTGGCATTGTGGACATGGTTAAAGGCAGGCTACAAAAATTTGAAGAGCTTTGTGCCACAGTTTACGAACTCTTCCCAAAAGATGGTTTCGAAAGGCTTATCGTCATCCCTTCTCACCCACATGGCTGTCCTAAGCAGATCTCCGTTGGAATGTGGACCCACCGCATGGAGAGGATTGGGGACTACTTCACAGCGTACACTTACACAGCGTCCACTTGTCCAGGGAGCAGTGGGGCTCCAGTTTTCACCATGGCCCGTGATATTTCCTGGTGGTCCTACATGTTTACTCACCGGGGGTCAACTCACGATGGGAACCACTGTGGGGCTACTTGGGACAATTAATTTCACATTAGTTTTAATTCTAAATTTTTTTAAGTCTCTAGAATTAAAAATCAAAATGATTTGGGAATTGCCTTTTTTTTTTCCCTATTCATAAAGATCATTAGCTATTTAATTTTTTAATTTCATTCAAAAGTGTTCTCCCATAATTAAAATACATTTATTATATTTTTGTAACTCCCCACAAAGTCTTGAAATTGAAGATACTGCAGCACCTTCTATTCAAATAATAAAAGGTAAACTGCTTTTTGCTTGTCCGCTCATACATTGTATTTGTGGCTTGCAAAGCAATTTTTAAACTATGTAAAATATTCTAGGCTCTGTTTATAGACAAACAGAGACCAAGTGGCTTCCCAAAGAAAAAAATATAGGCTTGACAAAGCCTGAGAAGAGAACCCCCCCCCCCACTTAAAATATTAGATATAGGCCTACAAATATATTTTATAGATTGATATGTGTACTGACGAATTTAGTTTTGTGGCTTGCAAAGCAATTTTTAAACTATGTAAAATATTCTAGGGTCTGTTTATAGAAAAAAAGAGACCAAGTGGCTTCCCAAAGAAAAAAATATAGGCTTGAAAAAGCCTGAGAAGAGAACCCCCCCCCCCCCACTTAAAATATTAGATATAGGCCTACAAATATATTTTATAGATTGATATGTGTACTGACGAATTTAGCGCCTCCTGGCGTTGATGCCCTGGTCGGTTATCGCCCTTCTCAAGGCCCTGCACAGACACTGCACTACACTTAAGTATAATAATATACAGCCAGTGTGTAGTCCTTCATTAAGATTTTGGGACTTTTTCCCCTTCAGAAAACTTCAACTTATTTTTACTTTAAAAAAAAACATTGCGCCAGTCCTAACTCATTTTTCGACAAACAATGAAATAAGATCATTAACATACAACTTTAACCACACAAATTGTGACGACAAACAAAACTACACAAAACGAGACCATTGACATACAACTTTAGCTACACAAAATGAGACGACAATCCACACAGCTATATACAATTGAGACGACAAACAACGTCACAAAATGATTCTATTAGCAAACAACTTCAACTACATCAAATGAGACCAAAAACACAACTAAACTAGACTAAATGAGACCACAAAAACACAACTTCAACAACACAAAATGGGACCACCGGCACACAACTACACATAAAAAGAGACCTCAAACACGCATACTTTAAATGAGACCAGAATCACACAGCTACACCCATTGAATTGAGACTATAATATCCATGATGTCATTAAAATGGTTTGATCACTTCATCATTGGAACCACCGCTGAACGATAGAACAAGAAAGACATTCTGTCGTGTAGATTGTCGATCAGTGTATGTCAAACTGGTGGTCCGCGGGCTGGCATCGGTCTGCGAGACTTACGTTCAGCAAAAATATGTACAACAATAAATTAACTTGCACTGCTTGCACTGCCTTCTCCCCCCCCCCTCCCCCCGAAAAATCTGAAGTGCCCCCTGGGGGAAAATTTCTGAAATAATCAATGCTTACGTAGCTGCAGTACTTCATGAGAAAAGAAACTGGATAAAAGCTAAATAAAGTTAACCATAACAAAAAAAAATAGGTTATATCGGCTAGTTTAAAATGATACTGGTTAAGTTAAATTTATAAATAAGAAACTTGTTTTTGTTTTTATTTTAAGAGATAGCTTAGTGTTTCCCTGAGTGTGGTATGCGTATCTCTGGGGGTAAGGGAAGAGTTTGATGAAAAATTAAATGTTTGTTTTTTTATTATTAAAGTATATGCCACTTTTTTTTTTTTTTTTGCAGCTGTTAACGAGGGGTACTCTGTGTTAAGAAAATTACGACAGGGGTACACAGATCTAGAAAGTTTGGGAAACACTGCTCTAGATGGTGATAGTATAAAGAAAGACCTTTTTTTTTTTTTTTTTATTTTTAGAGCCGAAAGGTATATAATTCAAAGAAATACATATCCTAGCAGATCAAATTTAAAATTAAAAAAAAAAATGAATTAAAAAGCAATATCAGAAAATGAACTCTTTCGGCATAAGGCCTTCATCAGTTGATAGAGAGGCTAGCTCATGTGGCAAGCAACTGAGAGGGTTTGTTACGGAAAATTTATCACAAGATCGAAAGAAATGCAGTTATTATTTAGAAGATTTTTTTTTTTTTTTTTTTTAGCGCCGTAAGGTATATAATTCAAAGCAATACATATCCTAGCAGCTCAAATTTAAAATTAAAAAAAAAAATGAATTAAAAAGCAATATCAGAAAATGAACTCTTTCGGCATAAGGCCTTCATCAGTTGTTAGAGAGGCTAGCTCATGTGGCAAGCAACTGAGAGGGTTTGTTACGGAAAATTTATCACAAGATCGAAAGAAATGCAGTTATTATTTAGAAGAAAAAAAAAATAATAATCGTGACAGAAAACAAGGGCCGCGCGTATGGAAAGCGGCGCCCGGGGGCGAAGCCTGAAAATGACGCCACCTCCCCTTTTCATCAATAAATAAAATATTCTTTAGGCATTATAATATGAATTTTGCTTCAATATGGTTGCCACACGATTCTGCTGTTATGCAACAATGATGTCGGAGGAGCTGGAATTTTATTTTCTTGTTGATACTTTTTAATAGACAGGAGAAACGTTAAAGATTTAAAATATTTTTAAAACAAAATTTATGATCGTCTTAATTGTTTAAGAGAGTGCAATCTTAATAAAACTTTTATTACTAATATGTTTTCTTTGTAATTTTTTTTTTTTTAAAGTGGGAGTTGTGGGGTCGGGGGGCCTTGCCCCGAATTGGGATCGAGCCTGGTGCATCATTTTGACTTTGACAGCTGACTTGTCAAACGACCTGGGTGGTTGGTTAACTGAACTGCATGTAAAATATGATATTTTTAATTTATGATTTTTCTTCATGTATGTGCCTTGTCTGTATCAAAAGATAACAACGTACAGATTATGAAACATTCATAATGGATTGCATAAGAAAATATAGCCATAAAAAAAAAAATTAAGCTGTGTCGTAATAGTTTTGACCTGGTGAAAGATTTCAGCCTCGAAACTCTACCGGACCACTTATCACCTCGCCGGTCAGCGCGACCTAAATATGACCCGGGACAGCAACAACAAAAAATGTTCGCTTGCTTGTTTCAGAAGAAGAGGGCGCTACCTCAAAAGTGGCAAAGCTTTAATTTGTCTTGTCAGCTGCCATTGATCAAGGTGTCACCGAAAACTTCATGAACAGGTGCATTTGCTATATCGATCTGTGGACAGAATTTTTAAATTATATACTCGCCATCTGGAAAGTTCAGATCAACAAATAGCTTTAAGTATCGGAAGTGAATGACAAAATTTTCTTCCTTCGCCTGACAAATGGTGATAGTTTCGGTGCACGTCACCAACGCACCTTCATCCACAGACACTTCATTAACAGACAATTTATCCAAAGACACTTCATTGACAGACACTTCACAAAAAATTATACCAGATCAACAGACACTTCATCACTAAGACATGACTCATTAAGACGACTCTGCTTCGAAAAAAAAAAAAGTCGACAGACATCATTTGACAGTTCATCGACAGTTACACCTCATTGACTGAAGCCTCAAAGACAGACACCTCATCGACAGTTACGCCTCGTCGACTGAAGACAGCCAGTTCATCGACGTCACTTTTTCAACAAATTCACGTCATAGATAGACACTTCATCAACTGGTATTTCATAAAAATCCACTCTCTCGACAGACACATCCTTGACATACACATCATCGACAGACACATCATCAATAGAACCTAATCGACACTCACATAATAGACAGACACATCATCAACAGACACATAATCAACACTCACATAATAGACATACACATCATCAACAGACCCATAATCGACACTCACATAATATAGAGACACATCATCAACAGACACATAATCAACACTCACATAATAGACAGACACATCATCAACAGACTTATAATCAACAGACATCAATAGACACTTTTTCCGCAGACGATTCTTCAATAGACACTTCATGGCCAGATACTTCATCATTAGACACTTCTTGGCCAGATACTTCATCATTAGTCACTTCTTCGCCATATACTTCATCAGTAGAAAATCTATCATCAGATACTTCATCAATAGACACTTCTTATTCAAATACTTCAACAATAGACACTTCTTATTCAGATACTTCATCAATGGACACTTCTTCACAATATACTTCATCAATAGACACTTCTTATTCAGATCATCATAGACACTTCTTCACCAGATACTTCATCAATAGACACTTCTTAGTCAGATACTTCATCAAAAGACACTTTTTCACCAGATACTTCATCAATAGACAATTTTTCACCAGATACTTCATCAATAGACACTTTTTCACCAGATACTTCATCAATAGACACTTTTTCACCAGATACTTCATCAATAGACACTTTAGCGCCATAAATTTCATCAATAGACACTTTAGCGCCATAAATTTCATCAATAGACACTTCTTATTCAGATCATCATAGACACTTCTTCACCAGATACTTCATCAATAGACACTTCTTAGTCAGATACTTCATCAATAGACACTTTTTCACCTGATACTTCATCAATATACACTTCTTATTCAGATACTTCATCAATATATACTTTTTCACCAGATACAGACACTTCTTCACCAGATACTTCATCAATAGACACTTCAATGCCAGATACTTCATCCAGTGCTCCACTGCCGTAATGCGTTCAAAGGCAGCCACCTGAGGGAGTCAACGTCAGGGAGGCACATTACTGACCTCTGAGGCGTAATTCGAGTGATTCACAATTGAAGACCCTAATGCTAAAAGTACTTAAGTCACATTTTTGTCAAAATCAATCTAGGCGGTGACCTTTCCTTATCCGGTTGAGCCAAGTGTACTACAGAAATCTATTGAACCAAGATTTATATATGAAAATGATCACATTTTATGGACGAAAAGAATATTTGAACTTGATTATCGCAAAAACGTGTATTTTGTGACTTAAGTACCACGTGAACTAAGATTTTCGACCAATGTGCAGGAAA